CACTATTTATAAGTAACTAAACAACAAATTTATTAATGTCAACACACAATTAAATGTATTATGATTATACAAATATTTTATTAGTTAGAAACATTTTATAAGAAAATAATATTTATAAATTGCATTTTTTTATGCATTGTCATTCAATATAATTTGCACTGAATCAATGTTTATTTAAATATTCAATAATGAAAATATAATATATTAGCATAAGTAACGTCACCATAAGAGCGGTAAGTTGGCAATAATATATTTACAATATATATATATGTTGAGCAACAAAGGTGAGTAAATAAATAAATATGATAAGTTATATAAGACGAACAATAAAGATCAGCCCTATATAAATATGAAATGTGTATTGAAAGTGCAGCAAAGGTGAGCCCGAGTGGGAAAAAAAAGAGCCCTAAAGCTACAATGATTATGACACTTATATAGGTAGGGCGATGAGCTCTTATATGATGGCCATTGAACTCGATCTCATATTCATGATATGTTCTAAAGTTAAAAAAATATATACTCTTTTTTATGCTAAGTAATGATTGAAACAAGAAAGTTAGAGATATGCATGAAAATTAAATTAGCCCGATAGCAACCATGCATATGTCAAAACTATATTTATAATATTGCAGATATTAAAATTCTTTTAAAATTCTTTTAGATAATTTTTTTATTTATTATTAGACCGATTGTTGTTTAGAAGATTTTCTTTTACAAGAATTATAAAAAATATGATTAATTAATATTCCTTATTTTAATTCTAAGATTATTTGAATTATATATTATTTTTATTTATCATACCAAGTCTCATAGCTCGCTAAATTATTATAAATATTTTCACAAAGAGAGGAAAAGATAAGATGGAGACCGAGTGGTATCAAAAAAATTTTGTGATCATATTTTATCGTATAATTATTTTAAGTATGTCATCACATTATTGTACAACTATTGTAAAATAAAAAGAAATTAAGGTAAGACACCTGAATTAACTTCTATTTTTATAAAAATTTTTTCGAGTTTTTAAATACTCTATAGATATATTTAAATTATGATTTGAATAATTTGATTTAATTGGAGTAAGGTGCCATATATTTTTTCGGGTTAATTTAAATGATTACATTATCTCCCACTATATAGTAGTGTCGGTGAGAAAGATAGTAGAATGAGTGTTAGAGGTATATTTAACCAGTTTATTAACACCCTCTTCTAATATGCCTCGCGTCAATTTGAGGAAGGATCAACATGGGGCGTGAAAGTTTAATCCACTAGTCAATTTTGTTTTTTGGCTTATCTTATATATCTTTCTAACTTATTGTTTGATTTTTTTTTTCATGTATTCTAGCTCATGAAAGAAGAGTTAAGTGTATAATTTAAATTGCACGAATTAGCTTTGATAAGCTTTAGTTTTGATTTATACCACTGGTAGTTATAAAACCCAAAATTCGTTCATATTAATGTTTCAAAATTAGTGACCAACAACTTAAGATCCATTTCACATGTTTTTGAAAGATGATAACTCCTACTAATTCACGCTTAATGCTTCACATCTGTGAACTCATTATGTAACTATAAAAAGGGAAAAAGTCAATGGTTTAATGCATCCCCGAATAAGAAGCAGCTACGAGAAGAGAGGAAAAAAATAGAGAGAGAAATTGGAGATAGAGTAGTCCAAGAATCAAAGGACAAAATTTTCAGGTGCTTGCAATTTGCAAGGGAAATTTGCAGCTTTGTTTTCTCTGATTCTAGAAAGAAAGAAAGCACTTGGTCATAGAGATTAAAAGTTCTCATCTGAACTATCAATAGAGAGAGGAA